GGCACAAAGCGCTTCTTTCGAAGCTCCCTTCCTATGAGCTTCCCGAGAAATTGTGCTATTTGATCACCAGCTTTCTTGCAGATCGGAGCATCAAGGTCGTTGTAGACGGTGCAAGCTCCGATTACAAGCCTATTAATGCTGGTGTTCCGCAAGGCTACGTGCTATTGCCAACGCTGTTTCTTCTGCATATCAATGATATGTTGCAAACCCATAATATTCATTGCTATGCAGATGACAGCACTGGTGATGCTCTTTACACCGGCCGTGCCAATATTTCTCGGGAAAACGTCTCAGAGTACTGGGACAAACTTGTGTCTGAAGTCGAGTCTTTGCTGAACAGAGTCTCGGATTGGGGGCGGCTAAATCGAGTCTAGTTTAATCCCCAGAAGACACAAGTTTGCGCGTTAATCGCTAAAAAGAACCCATTTGTCGTATCTCCTCAGTTTCAAGGTACTCCCCTTGTTGCCTCAGCCAGTATCGGAATCCTCGGCGTCGACATATCGAGTGATGTGCAGTTTCGTGGTCACATGGAAGAGAAGGCCAAATTGGCCCCTTAAAAGCTTGGCATGCTCAGTAGATATAATAATAATAATAATAATAGCCTTTATTCAGATCAACTTAACCTAATAACAATATTCTAAAGCAAACATAAAACATAAAAGCAAACATAAAACATAAAACAAACATAAAACTTAATCTAATATTTGCTTCTTTTTTATCTTTTGTAGATCTGTTTGCCAATCGGCAAAGGCCTCCTCCAACCTCTTCCATTCTGATCTTTCTTGAGCCACTCTGTTCCACATCACTCCTGCCACTTCTCTTATATCGTCGTCCCATCTTTTCTGCGGTCTGCCTCTTTTCATTTTTCCTTCCCTGGGATACCATCTTGTCACCTTCTTACTCCATTTGTCATGACCTCTTATTGTGTGCCCTGCCCACCTCCATTTGAGTCTTTTAATTTTCCGTACTACATCTATGGTTCTTGTTTTATTTCTGATGACAGAGTTTTTCAGTCTGTTTGATCTTTTGACATTCAGCATGCTCCTCTCCATAGCATATTGGCAAGTTGCTAGCCTGTTTGTCATTTCACGAGTTAAAGTCCATGATTGGCAGCCATACATAAGGACGGGTAGTACGCAGGTGTTAAATAGTTTGCTTTTGATGTTTATATGAAGTTGTTTGTCTTTCATAGCCTCTCTCAAGCTCCAGTAACGTCCCCAGCTGTTCGTAATTCTTCTCTTCACTTCCTCGCGCATAGGTTCTTTTTGGGTTATGAGTTGTCCCAGATAGATGTATTCGTCAGTGTAGTTAATTTCGGTATTTCTTATCTGTATCGTGGTTTTCTCTCCATTTGTCATCACTCTAGTCTTCTCTGGATTGAGTTTTAATCCTACTCCCTCACTTTCTATCGATAGGTCTTCTATCATTTTATTGATGGCTTCAAGTGTTTTGGCGAATAGCACTATATCATCAGCAAATCTTAAATGCGTCAGTGATGTGCCGTCTATATTGATCCCAAAATTTTCCCAATTAAGTTTTCTGAAAATTGATTCCAGTACAGCCGAGAATAATTTTGGGGACAGGGGGTCGCCCTGTCTAACGCCTTTTCCTACTTTGAATGGCTGGCTTTTCCTATCTAACTGGATTCTGGCTGTACTATGACTGTACACGTTTTTTATTAATCGAATGTATTTGAGTTCAATCCCTTGTTCCACTAATGCTTCCTATATGTTTTTATGTAGAAGAGAGTCAAATGCTTTGCTGTAGTCGATAAAAGCAATGTAATATGTAAGCTGGTATTCGTTGTATTTCTCAATAACTTGACGAACTACATGGATGTGGTCAATCACCGAGTAGTTCTTACGAAATCCCGCCTGCTCAATGGGTTGTTGTTCGTCTAGCGTTCTTTCAATACGTTTTAAAATGATCTTAGCGAAGATTTTGTAGATGTTTGACGTAAGACTGATGGGGCGATAGTTTCCGATTTCATGTTTATCTCCCTTCTTATACAACAGGATAATGTTAGATTCTGTCCATTGCTGGGGAATTATTTCAGTGTTTATAATATTGTTAAATATATCTGTAAGTACAGGTGCTAACACTTCCTTTCCTTGTCTTAAGATTTCGTTGCTTATGCCGTCAGGACCTGGTGTTTTATCTACCTTTTGAGTATCTATGGCTTTCTCGACTTCAGCTTGAAGAATGTTAGGAATGTTTGAGGTATCCACCAAATCAATTTCGTCTTCTGTTGTGTTACTTTCGTACAGTCTCTTGTAATAAGATGTTGCTATATCCAATATTCCTGTTCTACGATGATTCCATTTTCCACTGTCATTTTTCATTTTAACAATCCAATTCTTCGAATTTCTCAACTCTCTGTATGCTTTTTTGATTCCACCCGTTTTACTTATAAATGTTTTTATAGTATCCATTCTGTTTAGTTTTCTGTCCTTCCTTATGCTATCTTTAATTTGTTTACTAATTTCCGTTAATTTTTTTCTTCTATCATGTGTATCTTTACTGTTTCTCGCTTCTAGTAGCTTTTTGGTATTTGTTGTTAGCCATTTTTTCGGTTCAGCTTTGGTATTTGTAATTAGTTGTATTTGGGTTTTTATGGTATTTTCTATCCAGTTGTATCTTCCTCGTGTTCCAAATTCTTTTGTGTTAGATTCATAGTCTGTAAATTTGTCTATTAGAGCGATTGTTATTTGTTCTAACTGATGTTTTCCGAGCTTTGTGTTAAATAAGTCGTGTCTTGGTCTAGGTTTCTTTGGTTGATTTGATGCTAGTTCTGCTCTAATTAGTTTATGATTGGTGTTAAAGTTCAATGTCTTGATTACGGAAAAGTTAGTGAAGTAGTTGTTTCTGTTGGTCATTATGAAATCAATTTGGTTTTTTGTTTTGCCGTCTGGCGAGATCCAGGTCCACATGTTTTTCTTATTTTTCCTGAACATAGTGTTTAGGATGGTGAGGTTATTTTCTAGTGCGAAGTTTGTAATATGTTCTCCATTTCTACTTCTGGGCTTATTACTGTATGTGAAAGGTCCTAGTACTTTTTTTTCTTCCGGGCGCCTTTCCCCAATTTGACCATTACAGTCTCCCATTATTATAAGGTTTTTATGACCGTGCTCGTGGATCGCATTATTTAAATTAAGGTAGAATGTATTTATTGTATCTAGGCTTGATTGTTCAGTAGGCGAATATATTTGTACTATTGACCAAGGTATTCAATTCAGTACCATAGACCACATACATACCCTGCGGCAGATTGTACAGAAGACTGAAGAGTACAATTTGCCACTTTGCCTGGCGTATGTGGACTATGAGAAAGCCTTTGATTCCGTCGAAATTTGGGCGGTGCTGCAGTCCCTTCAGCGGTGCCAAGTTGACTGTCGGTATATTGAAGTGCTGAAGTGTTTGTACAGTAGGGCTACGATGGCTATCCGAGTACAGAACCAGAGCTCGAAACCTATCCAACTGCAGAGAGGTGTAAGACAGGGTGACGTTATATCCCCGAAACTCTTCACCGCTGCTTTGGAAGACGTTTTCAAGCTACTGGACTGGAAAGGATACGGTATTAACATCAATGGCGAGTACATCACTCACCTTCGATTTGCCGACGATATAGTCCTTATGGCAGAATCGCTGGAGGACTTAAGCACTATGCTCAATGACCTCAATAGTGCCTCCCAACGGATAGGTCTTAAGATGAACATGGACAAAACAAAGATTATGTTTAATGTCCATGTCACACCTATGCCGGTAGTTGTTGGGAGCACTATGCTCGAAGTTGTTGACGAGTACGTTTACCTGGGACAAATAGTCCGACTAGGTAAGTCCAACTTCGACCGAGAGGTCAATCGACGGATTCAACTCGGCTGGGCAGCGTTCGGGAAATTACGACATATCTTCTCGTCAGGTATACCTCAATCTCTGAAAACTAAAGTGTACAACCAGTGCGTGTTGCCAGTGATGACTTACGGATCAGAGACGTGGTCCTTCACTGCTGGCCGTATGAGGACGCTCAAGGTCGCTCAGCGAGCTATGGAGAGGGCTATGCTCGGAGTTTCTCTGCGTGATAGACTCAGAAATGAGGATATCCGCAGTAAAACCAGATTGACCGACATAGCCCAACGGATTAGTAAGCTGAAGTGGCAATGGGCCGGCCATATAGCTCGAAGAACCGATAACCGATTGGGAAGAAAGGTTCTCGAGTGGCAGCCTCGTACCGGTAGGCGTAGTGTAGGGCGACCCCCCACTAGATGGAGTGACGACCTGGTAAGATATGCAGGAAGTCGATGGATGCAGGTGGCTCAGGACCGTGCTTTGTGGCATTACTTGGGGGAGGCCTATGTTCAGCAGTGGACTTGTGAAGGGCTGTGATGATGATGATGATGATGATTGACCAAGGATCTTTATATCCAGGTAGTTTTAAATTCATTATAGCAATCCGCTCCGATATACCTATAAATCCTTCCACATGTGTTGTTATATGTTTTTTAACAATAAATCCAACCCCATGGAGTCCCGGGGTCTCTCCTATATGGTAGAATGTGTAATCTGGATACGATATGATATTTTCACCCATTCTTCTCACTTCACTGAGGCCAACAATGTCCCATTTGATGTGTTTTAAAGCATACATGAGTTCCGTAAGGTTTTCTTCACTTTTCAGGGTAAGTACGTTGAGTGCTGCGATAGAGATTATGGATTTGTTAATTTTGTTGTCACTTATTGTTGGAGGGTTGTGGTCTCTTTCCCCCACGAGGACCAGTCGGCTTGGGGGAGGTTGGTGTGTTCTTGTTTCATTGTTGCCAGTTTCTTCGGTTGGTTTTGGTTTCCGTTTGCCGATTTTTAATTGTTATTGTTTTCCTGTAGTAGATATATTTGAAAGAGAGTTGGACCGACCCCGCATCATATCGAAAACATTTGTCCTGTTTGTTTTGATTGAAGCTACAATCTGTTGTTTTTTGGATTGGTTAATGGGTGATAAGGGGTGATCAGCAGTGGGTGGGTCTTTTTCGTTTTTCTTGGATCTTTTGATTCTCTTTAACGATTAGTTTATCATATTTCAAATACGCATAATTGCCTTTTTTCCTTTCTTCAGCTAGCTTGGCTTGTAACGTTTTACGCTTTTCCAAAACTTCCTTTGAGTAATCTTCGCTGATATTAATTTTTTTCAGGTTCTTTTTATTTTTAATAATTTCATTCTTTTTCCAATTGCTTATAAACGAACATAGTACCGGCCTTGGTTTGTTACTTTCTCTATTTTTAGTACCTAAGCGGTAAATTTTATTGATTTCGTAATGTTCTATAGTAATGTTTAGATCTTGTTTCAGATGTTCCTTAAATTCTTGTAGTAGTTGGAAAGTTGATGTCTCTTTTTCTTCCAGGCCAAATATTATGATATTATTTTTCTTCTCTACTTTTTTCAGAAACTCAATTTCTTTTTCTAATTTTTCTACTTTGATTTTTAAGTTTTTGTTTTCTTCCACTAAAGGGATTAACTTATCATCCATTTTGTCCATAATACTTTTTGTGATAGAATCCTTCAATTCCGCAGTTTGGCTTTGCATCTCAATTCTCAATTTTTCAAATAATATTTGAAATTGACCTTCCATTATATTGTTATGAAGTTGTGTTAGCGTGTGTTGGAACGTAATATTAGCAATGGTAGAATTTATTTTTATGGTTGGCAACACTGGTGGTGCTGTCAGTGTCGCAAACGTCCGTCTTGTTGACGTTGCTATGACATATGTCGATTAATAATGTTTGTAGTGTTTTGTAGCCTCAAATCAATGATGATGTTGTTATTCTTATTTATCAACGATCACCATTAATTACACCAATCTGATTATCTATAAACACTTCACAGATGTTTTGCTTGCGACTTAAACTTAACTTAACTTAAAACACTCACAAAAAGTCAAATTGTGCAGGTTAGATACGATCCTGCGGCCTCAAATGACCACCTTGAGTGCTTAGCCAACACGCCATCATTACTACTTACTATGTCTGCCAAAATAGTAGTTCTATTACAAACAAATACGAGACGACAGATTCGTTGGTTACGAGCGTTTTGCATGTGTTTGAAAATTTTTCTTTAACCGTCACTTTAAATCACAAATATAAAGTTTTTAAGTTTCTAAAGTATTTATTGTTTTATATTTCTATTTTTATTTGTGTCACAGTTTATCAATGGATATAGAAGATGTATTTGGTATTATTTTGGGATAAAATAGCACATATCGGTTTTATTGCTGTGGGTAGCTCACCGTAAGATTCACAATAATGCAGTCTAATTATATGTTATGCGTATTATATGTCTTGATAACACTCTCACACACGTATTGAACAGTTTTCTCCACTTTTTTGGTAAATCTAGCACGATACAGTTGAATATCTATTTTTAAGCAATTAAATTACGAGAGCACAATGTTCACATGACAGCGGAAACCGTCCAACTCATCCATGCTCAGTAATGCTCAGCAGAGCGGGACAGTATTTCATGCTGGCACACCTCCTGCAACTTTACAAGGCGCAAGTTCGGCTGCACATGGAATACTGTTCCCATCTCTGGGCTGGGGCTCCCCAGTACCAGCTCCTTTCACTTGACCGCATCCAGCGTAGAGCGGCTCGAATCGTCGACGGCCGAGTGCTTTCCGATCGGCTCGATTCACTGGCGCTGCGAAGAGATGTTGCATCTCTTTGCATTTTCTTTCGCATATACCATGGAGAGTGCTCTGAGGAATTGTTCGGATTAGTCCCAGCCGCCAAATTTCGTGAACTCACCACGCGGCAAACGTCCCGATACCATCCACACCATCTGGATGCTTGGCAGTCCACCACAGTACATTTCAAAAAGCGTTAGCGTTCCCTTCGGGGGGAGTGCATCAAAACGGTTGGCGATCACCACGCACAGCGTGAACGTGTGCCTCAATTTTTGTGGGCGCCCTGTATCTGGTATTTTATATAAATATATTGTGAGCCTTTTTCAAGCGGGAAGGGATAAAGAATAATAAATTATTAATGTAAACCTGATAAAAGTGGAATAGGGACGTTTTATGTCTTTCTCGAGAAAATGGCGTATGAAATGAACGTAGATTATAAATAAATATCCATAGAATAACAGTTTTTTTTCATTGCAATAGAGGATAGAAAATTTTATATTGATTTTATAATGCCAAACTTCTTCATAGAAAAGTAGTCTCTAAACCTAAGTAACTATGGATTAAAGTGCTGTGGGTGGGTGCTGTCAAATTTGACCTCTTGAATTTTGATGGAATATCGAAGCGGTCAAATTTTGACGCTTGCCGTTTAAAATGTTAACACTCACAAAATAGAAAATTCTCTCCTAGCTCCGCCACTCGATTCTAGATAACGCTAGTGAGAAAATTCTAGCATGGCATTTTCTAGAAAGCCTTCCTAGTTATCTGCTACTTAATACTAGATGGCGCTAGTGACATTTATCATGCATTAATTATGGCACGCAACAATAGGAAAAGATAATCCCGCTTAAAAGTTTGATGTTACACAAGTCATTTATATATACTAAAAAAAAAAAACATGGGCCAAGACTACTTCCCTGCGGTACGCCGTAAGTAACTTGCAGGTCTGAACTACTATAAGGACCAATCCTAACACATAAAATTTTATTACTTACATATCTTTAGAATAAAGATAACTTAATTCTTCTTACTCCCAAAGATTGAAGTTTTGAAATTAGGATAGGTATTGAAACATTACTCGTATTTTACGCCTTTGTGAGCTCAAGAAACAATGCAAAACATTTTTGTCATATGTCAAGTTTAAAAGACTACGAATTCAAGAAGGCTGTGGATATCATCAGATGTACACAATTTTTTTCGAAACCCAAATTGGTTTTAAGAGAGCCTCTAAGTATTTAACAAGCCTTATGTTTACTATTTTCTCGAGTACCTTCGACATCGTAAGCAGAACTAATATAGCTCTATAGTTTTCAACACGATTTCAATCGCCGGATTTAAAATAGGGTAATTAATTGCTTTTTTAAGCAAATCAGGGAAAATCTCAGAGCAAATCTATATGGAGAGGATGCGGGGAATATTACAGAGCCTCTTTCTAGTTTGCATGCCAGTGCTCTTTTAATATATGAAAATTATGTGTTAATATTTTGAACAGATTTTTGAGTATTTAGTTGAGCTCTAGGAGATCAAATACTGATTGCTGTTTAGATAAAATTGTAACAGTTTGAATGACTTTCCACAGTTGCTTGAAGTTTCTGCGGGCTTTTTAAAATTCCAACCTCTCATAATTAGTATAAATAGAGATATAAAATACAAATATAAGCCCATAGTTAATTATGTGTTAAGCGTTCGTCTTTTGGGACATACCACAAATATCACTACAGAAATTGCTTATCGGTATTTAAATTCTGAGTGCCAAGTGATTGATGGGAAAAAAGTGAAATAAAAAATATTTCGAAAACATATAAATTTCGCGCATTTGCGCTGGGGTAGCGCAGCGTAATATTTTTCTTATTAAAAATCTGTGAGAAATAATTAAAAGAATTGTACCCAACTGAAAGTATAGTGCTTGCTCTTTCTTCGTGCATACGAACTCCACTATCAAACACAACCTAACACGTTCGCGGAACATATTTGCTCCATTTGCAACCATGCCAAATTAGTCAATAGTCGTCTGCACCCGCTAGTTAACAACAAGAGCAAACTATCCTTAAAACACAAGCTCTATCTTCAAAAAGCTTGCGTTAGACTTATCATGTCCTACGAAAGCGTTGTTTATGTGCAGGATACCTATCGCCATTTGTACGATCTCCAAGTCATCCAAAATAGATTCACCCGCATAGCCACCAAAGCTCGGTGGTATCAGCGAAACTCCGACTTGCACAGAGACTGTCAACTCCCGACGATCTCTGAATATTTCAAGTAAATGTTTAAGCGCAAATTTGAGAGTACCGAGATACATCCCAACTCGTTAGTGGTAAACACAGCTACCAACGCCCCGACTCCAAACGTTACGAAAACTTTCCGGAGGCCCCGCAAAAAAATTAATTGAACCCCCTGTTCCGCTAAATTCCGACGACCCAAATGTCACCAGCCTTCACACACGAATACTACACACTCACCTTGCGAAACAAACACAAATAGTACATCGAATAGGACTTTATCGTTACGCAAGTAACGATGCAGGTCGATGCAGAATGTCCCTTTTTATTTTAAGCTTGCGGCACTCAGACCGCAAGCCCTGAGAGAGATGAAGCTGCAAAAGCAAAAATGTTAATAGCAACAACATCATTGAAACGGGTCAGTGGAAATTAATTAGAAATAAAGTAAATGTAAGTACAGTATTATATATAAAATATATGTAATCTTAATTTGTTTTATGAAAAATATGTATTACATCCATTACTAAGAAAATGGGCTGTATCGAAAAATAAAGAAACGAATATAAGTTTTTATATGTTGTATTACATTATTGAAGTAAGTAAAAGCGGGTTCTCCATTTTCTTACAAGAATAAAATCCGGTTTTTCTTTCGCGGTGATTGAGTGAACTTATGGAATGGAACAAATTCCTTTTGCTCACTCATGTAGAAATAAAGAATGATATTTTTATTTAAATAATATATTAATCGAATATTTTATTACTGAGTACAAATTGCTTAAATTAAAAAAATGACAACAGTTGTATAAAACTAAAAAAAAAAACAATTCATTGAGATTAAATGAGTAGCTTGAACAACGTGTTACAGATACGGGTTTCAAATACCATCAGTGTGGCTACTACGTTAAATATATTACTTTATGTTAAATGATTATCGTCACCCATGAAAATCTATCTACAAACACTAATTTTTAACAATTATTCTTATAAGGACTGGGAAGTATATAATGAAAACTGTTGTTTTATTATATTTTATCATGTTCTCATTATAAAATATATATTAAATAGCTCTGCCTGCGATTTCGTTAGCATGGAATTAGTACTTTTCTTAGGATAATTGACAACGATTTATCTATACAATGAATTGTATAAGCATTCATGTAGTCAATAAATGAGACAAACTAACGAACAAACAAATAGACGGGTCTACAAATGATCTAATGGACATACCCACAATTGCACTAAGAAACGAATTGTACAAACTATATGCTGTTTGTTTCATATCGTACATAAATAACAAAATGACAGCAATAACGTAATCCACAATTTGCTACCGAATTTCTCTATTCAACACTTGGTTTTTATACAACCGATAAGAGATGCCCTAAGTAAGCAAGTGCTGTCGCCAATTATTGGTTCTATGGAAAATATTTGAAAAGAAAACTACAATCCAAAGTCTACTTAAAATTAAGTGCCTAATTAAACTGACAAAGTAAATGCAATAACGTAAGTAGAAAATTGTCTCTTCGTGCAAAATAATGAAAAATAAAAATAAACTCAACCACAGAAAGTCCTTTGACCTCTAAATAATAGGTGTGATTAGGTACAAAATCAGATGTGTTTCCTAAGGAAAAA